TACACTATATGGCCAAAAGAATTGGGATGCCTGCCTTTACATGCACATGAACTTTTTTGGCATCCCAGTCTTAGTCCGTAGGGTTCAATATTGAGTTGGCCCACCCTTTGCAGCTATAACAGCTTCAACTCTTCTGGGAAGGCTGTCCACAACATTTAGGAGTGTGTCTATTGGATTGTTTAACCATTCTTCCAGAAGTGCATGGGTGAGGTCAGGCACTAATGTTGGACGAGAAGGCCTGGCTCGCAGTCTCCACTTTAATTCATCCCAAAGATGTTCTATCGAGTTGAGGTCAGGCCAGTCAAGTTCCTCCACCCCAAACTCGCTCATCCATGTCTTTAGGGATCTTGCATTGTGCACTGGTGCACAGTCATGTTGGAACAGGAAGGGGCCATCCCCAAACTGTTCTCACAAAGTTGGGAGCATGAAATTGTCCAAAATGTCTTGGTATGCTGACGCCTTAAGAGTTCTCTTCATTGGAACTAAGGGGCCAAGCCCAATCCCAACCCCTGAAAAACAACCCCACACCATAATCCCCCGCCACCAAACTGTACACTTGGCACAATGCAGTCAGTCAAGTACCGTTCTCCTGGTAACTGCCAAACCCAGACAAGTCCATTTCCAGACAGAGAAGCATGATTCATCACTCCAGAGAACACGTTTCCACTGCTCTAGGGTCCAGAGGCAGGGTGCTTTACACCACTACATCTGACGCTTTGCATTGTACTTGGCAAAGTAAGGCTTGGATGCAGCTGCTCAGCCATGAAAACCCATTCCATTAAGTTCTCTACGCACTGTTGTTGTGTTAATCTGAAGGTGACATAAAGTTATTTAACTCTTGCACGGACTCCTCTGTATTAATACTGGATAGAAGAGAAGCGTAGTTTTCAGACAGTTTCTCATAGCCTTCATATGCACTTTCTAGTTTTACAAGAGCATTGCTTAGTTGCTATTTCATCTATAGCAATTACGCATTGCATAGTCTTATCCCACATGCATGACAAATTGTCAGCCATGTCTGCCTTATACGATTAATAATTCTCCTTAAGTTTAAAGGAAGGCTTAGCTGTGCATTTTGGGTCTAGCAAGTATGACCATCTGTTGTGCTTCAGTTTCATCTTGGGGAAGGAAGGACTGTTTACTGTCTGATTGTAATGGGTTAAACCAATGAGAATGCAAATATTTTTGCTCATGCTTGTTGCTGCAAATGTGGACAGTGTAGCGGTATCTGTGTGCAGAAAATCTAATACAGTCTATTAACACTATAATTCCAATAGCAGAAAAACGTTAGCAGCAGCAGTCCTTCACAAGCAGTTCAAAATAAAGAAACTTCAAGGCATGTACAGATTTCCACACTGTAGATAAACTTTTGCTCTGCTTTGTCTCAAGAACTGCCATTGACATACCTCCGTTAGACCTCATGCGGCCAATTTGATTGGATCAGCACTTCTCCACAGACAGCTCAACTCTCCAATAAGACATGATAGTTTCATTTAATGTAGCTTCACTTGTAAAATGCAATACGTGTTTGTTTAGCAGTCATACCAATGTGTAAACGGACAATGATAATCTGCTCTGTGTCCATAATGAAGGCTGGAGACTAACTGAAGAACATGAAAAAGAAGAGAGGGGACTAGCTAAATACTAAACTAACTAATACAAACATGTAGGTATATTGGATTATACCGTTTTTCAAGTATGAAAATAACAAGTTGCAGTTTCAGTAATTGACAATAGATGTCCCTATAGAGATAGTTATACCTTAGATCAGGAGTCTTCAAACTTTTTTTAAAAAAGGGCCAGTTTACTGCCCTTCAAACTTTAGGGGGTCAGATTGTGGCCAGTGGGAGTAGAAAATGCCCTGACATCAGCGGGAGTAAACAATACCCTAGGGTTGGTGGTCAGTGGAAGGAACAGTGACCCATCACTGGTGTCAGTAGGAGAAACAGTGTTCTGTCACTGGTGTCAGTGGGTGGAACAGAGCCCTGTCACTGGTATCAGTGGAAGGAACAGTGCCCTATTACTGGAGTCAGTGGGAGGAACAGTGCCCCGTCGCTGGTGTCAGTGGGAGAAACAGTGTCCCATCGTTAGGATCAGTGGGAGGAACAGTGCTCCATCATTGGGGTCAGTGGGAGGAACAGTGTCCTGTCATTGGGGTCAGTGGGAGGAACAGTGCCCTATCATTGGGGTCAGTGAGAGGGACAGTGCCCCATCGTTGGGGTCAGTGGGAGGGACAGTGCCCCATCGTTGTGGTCAGTGGGAGGAACAGTGCTCCATCATTCATGTCAGTGGGAGGAATAGCACCCAATCATTTTTGTCAGTGGGAGGAATAGCGCCCCATCGGTGATGTCAGTGGGAAGAAAAGTGCCCCATCATTGGTGTCAGTGGGAGGAATAGCACCCCATTGTTGGTGTCAATGGAAGAATAGTGGTTCATATCAGTGATAGGAAAAGTGCACCAACGGCAGGATAAAAGCAAGCAAAGTGCCACATCCAGCCCGCGGGCCACAGTTTGGAGACTCCTGCATTAGATAACGAATTCCAATTTAAAGTGATGGATACATGATAAGTGTTCCAGAATAGTTGAGTACTTCTTATTATGGGGTGACAATGCTATGTCTCTGTCTCTCACACTCCCCATGCCTGTAAATCATATGCATTCCCAAAGGAGAAATTGAGCTTCTGTACTAATGTACTGTACATTGTCCAGGGATGTTACACTTAAACAAAATTGCAGGAAGCAACAATTAGAAAATATGCCCTATGAAAATACACATGGAGCCGGTTAGCAGTGAAGAAAGTGTATGCCATCAACGAAATAGGAAATATGCCCTATTAAAAACACACATTTAGCCTGTTATGATTGCAGACCATGCATGTGGAGGCTGAAGGACACACATTTGCAGCATTAACATGTACAAATCCTTACCTTCCTCTGTCCCTAAATTCCCCAAGATATACAGAATTTTGCTACTTAAAGAACATTCACTAAGGGTTCACATTTACCTTAAGATACAAGTGCGTACAAACTGTATGCTAATTTTCACTATGCACCTAATCAGCAGATCTCACTAACCTTTCCCTATCACAGCCAAGCATATTGTCAATATGGCAGCTGGTAACCCTGCCTTTTTAGTGAACACATTTCCATTGTTGGTCACTTTAAGCCAACTGAGTCTACAAAGTGCATTATGGGTAGTTTGTTGCTGTGGCAGTGGTATGGCTATGGTGCAGGAAGGGAAGCAATTTCAGCTGTCTATATCTCTGGATCGCATCAGTTTATTCATCTTATGTTCAAATTGAAGTGCCTGGATTTGCAACAGATTCATTTTATAAAAGAAAAATAAATCAGGTCTCAGTGCTACATTTCTCTGCGTTTACAGTTGCCCGTATTGAAATATGTTTATCTCTGAATACCTCTAGGAGCAGCAATGCTTTGTGTGTGATCTTTTCCTGCTTGTTGTTGGAGCTTATCTTAGAATAGTAAGACTTTATCACATGTAGTTCATTTGTAAATGTCATCTGCTTTTCCCAAATAAAATATTATAGCTGTTGCGACATTAAAATGTAGAATGTCATTATAACCAAAGTTGAATATTGCATTATTCTTTAAAAAAATATTACTGAATCTAGATTTAGATTGTTAAATTATTAATATACTTTATAGTTTCCTATGTTTTTTAAGTTAAAGGTTCTATTTAAATGCAAAATCTATTTTTTAAGAAAAAGTATAGATTAGAATACCAATTCACTAGTTATTTCACTGAGTTGAAAACATTTACATAGGTCAAAAATCTAACTTGGATGGTGGGTGTGCAATTCTATTACTTGAGGGACCTGTACAGAATTTTAAATAATTTCAGGCATCATGTGTGTATTTTAATTGACATACAGAATATGATTTTACTTGATGATCTAAACTCATGTCTGTGCTGGTAAATTCTCCTCTCGCTCCATAGAAAAGCCATCTGTACAACAGAGGAGTGCACACCCAGCTCGTACAGTACAGCACAGCACATGTGCAAGACTATAGCAGAGTTGCTGTTGTCACATTCATCTTATTGATTTTGGTGAAGGCAAAGCAGAAGACTGGCGTGTTAATCTCTCTGTTTTCTCCCCCTCAGCATATTCCTTTTCACAATATTTGCATGGAGCTTACCTAGTGCTGCCCTGTTTTCTCCCAAGCTGGGTATTTCTGTGCTAGGGATTGTAAGAGGTTGCTAGCAAGTGAAATTCAGGTACTTGCAAAAAATGTATTTGAAGCAATAGAAGGAAGTTTATCAATCACTGCAGGGAAAACCTCATAAACATGGTTACTAAAATGAACAATATGAAATCTACTGTTGCTGGACTTTACAAATAAAAGTACTGATGTTGTATTAAAAATGAATAAAGTATACTTGGTATTATCATATATAGATGTTATTACAAACACAAATGTTTGTTTGATTTTGTCAGTTAAAAGTGAATGCCTAAATTATTTTTCCTACTGGTATATAAACTATGGGATATGTTGTCTTATTTCTATTAAGATTCACAAACCTATATATTGGTCAATAGGGAGAGAAATCCCTTTTGAAAAATTGCCACCACGTGTCTACATCATTTTATAGAGGTTGCCATCAAGTGTCTGAAGGATCACTATAAGGTAACTTTATAAAATTCACTTAGCTCAAGGTTACACAGACAAGTGTATGTAATCAGTCATTGCAAAAAGCATCCATAATGTATACAGTGCAAACAAAAGGGAAAAAAAAGTTATGTTAATTCAGTAATACAAAACCATTTTAGTTTATTAAATAAGATCAGTAAATGATGAATTTTGATTGATTGCTAGGAATTACTGCACTTTGCATATGATGGAGATATATATATATATATATATATATATATATATATATATATATATATATATATATACACTATATTGCCAAAAGTATTGGGACACCTCTCCAAGCAATTGGATTCGGGTGTTCCAATCCCCTCCATGGCCACAGGTGTATAACGCACCTAGGCATGCAGACTTCTTCTACAAACATTTGTGAAAGAATGGGTCGCTCTCAGGAGCTCAGTGAATTCAAGCGTGGTACTGTGATAGGTTGCCACCTGTGCAATATGTCCATCCATGAAATTTCCTTGCTACTACATATTCCATGGTCAACTGTTAGTGGTATTATAACAAAGTGGAAACAATTGGGAACAACAGCAACTCAGCCACGAAATGGTAGGCCACATAAAATGACAGAGCGGGGTCAGCGCATGCTGAATTGCACAATGCACAGAAGTTGCCAACTGTCTGCAGAGTCAACAGCTAAAGACCTCCAAACTTCATGTGGCCTTCAGATTAGGACAACAGCAGTGCATAGAGGGATTAATGGAATGGGTTTCCATGGCTGGGCAGCTACATCCAAGCCTTACATCACCAAGTGCAATGCAAAGCGTTGGATGTAGTGGTGTAAAGCATGCAGCCACTGGACTCTAGAGCAGTGGAGATGTGTTCTATGAAGTTACCAGTTTTGCTCCTCTGTCTGGCAATCCGTTGACCGTGTCTGGCCTGACTGCATAGTGCCAAGTGTAAAGTTTGGTGGAGGGGGGATTATGGTGTGTGGTTGTTCCTCAGGGGTTGGGCTTGGCCCCCTAGTTCCAGTGAAGGGAACTCTAAAGACGTCACCATACCATGACATTTTGGGCAATTTCATACTCCCAACATTGTGGGGAGCAGTTTGGGGATGGCCCCTTTCTGTTCCAAATGATTGCACACCAGCGCACAAAGCAAGGTCCATAAAGACATGGATGAGCAAGTTTGGGGTGGAGGAACTTGACTGGCCTGCACAGAGCCCTGACCTCAACCCAATAGAACACCTTTGGGATGAATTAGAGCTGAGACTGCGAGCCAGGCCTTCTCGTCCGACATCAGTGCCTGACCTCACAAATGCGCTTCTTGAAGAATGCTCAAACATTCCCATAGACACACTCCTAAACCTTGTGGACAGCCTTCCCAGCAGAGTTGAAGCTGTTATAGATCCAAAGGATGGGCCAACTCAGTATTGATACCTATGGACTAAGATTGGGATGCCATTAAAGTCCATGTGCGTGAAAAGACAGGCGCCCCAATACTTTTGGCAATATAGTGGGCGTATATATGTATATATATACGTATATATATATATATATATATATATATATATATATATATACTGCTCAAAAAAATTAAAGGAACACTTTGAAAACACATCGGATCTCAATGGGGAAAAATATCATGCTGGATATCTATACTGGTATGGATTGGGTAATGTGTTAGGAATGTAAGGATACAACATCATTTGATGGAAATGAAAATTATCAACCTAGAGAGGACTGAATTCAAAGACACCTCGAAAATCAAAGTGAAAAAATGAGGCAGCAAGCTAGGCCATTTTGCTGAAATTTCATTTTCATTCAGCAATTCAAAATGGTAATCAGTAGTTTGTATGGTCCCCACATGCTTGTATGTATGCCTGACAACATTCTGGCATGCTCCTAATGGGACGACGGATGGTGTCCTGGGGTATATCCCCCCAGATCTAGACCAGGGCATCACTGAGCTCCTGGAAAGTCTGAGGTGCAACCTGGCGTCTTTGGATGGACCGAAACATGATATCCCAGAGGTGTCCTATTGGATTTAGGTCAGGCGAGAGTGGGGGCCATTAAATAGTATCAATTCCTTCATCCTCCAGAAACTGCCTGCATACTCTCGCCACATGAAGCTGGGCATTGTCATGTACCGGGAGGAACCCAGGACCCACTTTACCAGAGCAGGGTCTGACAATGGGTTCCAAGGATTTCATTCCGATACCTAATGGCAGTCAGATTGCCATTGTCTAGCCTGTAGAGGTATGTGTGTCCCTCCATGGATATGCCTCCCTAGACCATCACCAAAACGGTCATGCTGAACGATGTTACAGGCAGCATAACTTTCTCTATGGCTTCTCCACACCCTTTCACGTCTGTCACATGTGTTTAGGGTGAACCTGCTCTCATCTGTGAAAAGCACAGGGTGCCAGTGGTGGACTGGCCAATTCTGGTGTTCAATGGCAAATGCCAATCAAGCTTTATGGTGCCAGGCAGTGGGTACAGGGCCCACTAGAGGACGTCGGGCCCTCAAGCCACCCTCATTAAGTCTGTTTCTGATTGGTTAGAGACATTCACAGCAGTGGCCTGCTGGATGTCATTTTGTAGGGCTCTGGCAGTGCTCATCCTGTTCCTCCTTGCACAGAGGAGCAGATACCGGTCCTGCTGATGAGATAAGGACCTTCTACGGCCCTGTCCAGCTCTCGTAGAGTAACTGCCGGTCTCCTGAAATCCCCTCCATGTTCTTGAGACTGTGCTGGGAGACACAGCAAACCTTCTGGCAAAGGCATGTATTGATATGCCATCCTGGAGGAATTGGACTGCCTGTGCAACCTGCAGAGTCCAAGTATCTCCTCATGCTACCAGTAGTGACACTGACCCTAGCCAAATGCAAAACTAGTGAAAAACAGTCAGAAAATATTAGTAGGAAAAATGTCAGTGGCCTCCACCTGCAAAACCATTTCTGTTTTGGGGGTCATCTTATTGTTGTCCATCTAGTGTACCTGTTGTTAATTTCATTAACACCAAAGCAGCTGAAACAGATTAACAGCCCCCTCTGCTATTTAACTGACCAGATCAATATCCCAGGAGTTTAATTGACTTGATTCTATACTCTGATTAAAAAGTGTTCCTTTAATTTTTTTATATATATATACTTTTTGACCACTAGATGCTGCTGTGGCTCTGGATAAATTATAGCTTCTCTCATCAAATAACAAAGCTGCTAGACAGATCATTACAATAAAGCATCCTACATATTTTACTTACAAAGCACATTTGCCTACATCCCATTGTCTTCTGCAGTATCAATGGGGCAAAGACATTATGAGCTGAATATATCCAGGGTGGCCTTTGATGGTAATAGAATAATACCAGAAATGTTAAGGAATTGTGTCTTTAGAAAGTTGTAAAAAGCTCAGCACAAAGAGTAATAAAATGTATTGCCTAATAAATTTAAAATGCAGCCTTATGAAACATTTCAAGTTTTCTTAGACATAATGCAGTACTGAATCTGTAAGCGGTGCCCTGCGAAAACAGCTAAATATGGACTATATTTGAACTACTCAGGATGTTCAAACAGTTTGACAAGCCAAAGGATGCCTAACTCTGTTAATCTAGTCTTGTGATTCACATATGTCTTCTGCACGTCACAGCCAGACAGGTGCCACTTTTTCCTAACTTTACCATCCAGATTTTTAAAGTAATTTGGGAATTTTCTTCCTGAAATTACAAAGCCTCCACAAGCAAAGGGATAACTATAACCATAGCAGACTATACAGTTGTAATGATGATATACAGTATGTACATATATATGTTTTATATGGTTTTAGGGCCAGTACACAACACATTCAGTCCAGTGCATTTTTCTCCATCAACAATGCGTAGGTTAAGTAGATTCTCAGAGATCCCATCATACCAAGTGGCTCCTCAAGGAGTAAGCGCTATATATAAATACACACACACACACACACTATATTGCCAAACGTATTGGGACACCCCTCCAAATCACTGGCTCCAATCACCTCCATGGCCAACAGGTGTATAAAATCAAGTACCTAGGCATGCAGACTGCTTCTACAAACATTTGTGAAAGAATGAGCTGCTCTCAGGAGCTCAGTGAATTCAAGTGTGGTACCCTGATTAGTTGATAAGTCCATCCGTGAAATTTCCTTGCTACGAAATATCTCCAAACTTTGTGTGGCCTTCAGATTAGCACAGCAACAGTGCATAGAGAGCTTCATGGAATGGGTTTCCATGGCCAAGCAGCTGCATCCAAGCCTTACATCATCAAGTACAATGCAAAGCGTCAGATGCAGTGGTGTAAAGCATGCACTGGACCCTAGAGCAGTTTAGATGTGTTCTCTTGAGTGATGAATCACGCTTTTGTCTGGAAATCTGATGGATGTACCTGTGTTTGTCAATTTTCAGGAGATAGATACTTTCCTGACTGCATTGTACCAAGTGTAAAGTTTGGTGGAGGGGGGAATATGGTGTGGTGTTGTCTTTCAGGGGTTGGCCTTAGCCCCTTAGTTCCAGTGAAGGGAACTCTTAAGGCGTCAGCATACTAAGACATTTTGGACAATTTCATGTTCCCAACTTTGTGGGAACAGTTTGGGGATGGCCCCTTCCTGTTACAACATGACTGCGCACCAGTGCACAAATCAAGGCTCATAAAGACATGGGTGAGCGAGTTTGAGGTGGAAGAACTTGACTGGACTGCACAGAGTCCTGACCTCAACCCGATAGAACACCTTTGGGATAAATTCGTTTGGACGCTGTGAGCCAGGCCATCTCGTCTGGGATCAGTGCCTGACCACACAAATGCGCTTCTGGAAGAATGGTCAAACATTCCCATAGACACACTCCTAAACCTTGTGGACAGCCTTCCCAGAAGAGTTGAAGCTGTTATAGCTGCAAAGGGTGGGTCAATTCAATACTGAACCCTACAGACTAAGACTGGGATGGCAATAAAGTTCATGTGCGTGTAAAGGCAGGCGTCCCAATACTTATCGTAATATAGTGTGTATATTTCAGCTGTGCATTTTGTTATTTAGACCAAGTTTTGCTTTCATTTGTTCATTACCCAGACATTTATTTTGCTGAATGGCATATGTAAGACATTTGCATGGAAAATTGTGGGGTAAAAAGACCGACAAAAAGTACAGTTTTGGTGTAGTGACAGAGGGCCCTCCTAACCCTCTTGTATTGAACTGTATTGTTGCTGTATTGTCTCCCTTTATATTGTAAAGCGCTGAGCAAACTGTTGGTGCTATATAAATCCTGTATAATAATAATAATAATCTTAGATTGTAAGCTCCAAGGATCAGGGCCCTCCTAACCCTCTTGTATTGAAGCTGTATTGTCTCCCTTTATATTGTAAAGCGCTGAGCAAACTGTTGGAGATATATAAATCCTGTATAATAATAATAATCTTAGATTGTAAGCTCCAAGGGCAGGGCCCTCCTATCCCTCTTGTATTGAACTGTATTGTTGCTGTATTGTCTCCCTTTATATTGTAAAGCGCTGAGCAAATTGTTGGCGCTATATACATTCTGTATTATAATAATAATAATAATAGTAATTATGTCCTGGCAGGATGTATTTCATTACAGCCTAATCATAGTGCATCCAAAACAGCAGCATTCACCACTTGGTAATGAAGTTCAAATGTGTATCACTTAAAATGCATTTTAATATAGCTCAATGCTCAGGCAAATGCATAGTCAAAAAATGTAATCACTGGGCAATATTTGTAACTAATATTCAGCAAACAGCTCACAATTGCACAAGATCTATTCATTAATATTTCACAATTTAAAAACTGCACTCTGTGCACATTCTCTGCATGCTTAGTTAGCTGCTATTTTATGTTAAGATTATTTAAAAGGCTACATTGGCTTCTTGATGCTAAAGACTCTCCCACTCCCCAAATAAAGATGTAAATTTGCTCTAATTAAATGAGTGCTGAACAGTTGGACTGACTTCAAAGTTAATGATTTATTTTCACAAAGAGTTATGAAAGGAAAAGAATAGTATAAAATACCTGGCCTCCCTGTAAATAAACATTGCTTGTTCGGGGAGAATTTACTATCAATGCACTGGTTTCACTAGGTTCAGACTCTTGCTTCATCAGTATTTGATTTATTCTACAATTTACAAACTTTTTGTGCATCTGAATTCCAAATAGGGGTTATTTATTACTTGGGCTTCATCACCCAGACTTTTTTATGTTTACAGTTCAGTCTTCAATTATTTGGTCATTTAACTGTCCTTTTGTTAAAGCCATCCTGAAAGATAAATAAAATTGCTCACAAAGGTTATGCTGCCAAATGCCAATCTGATGAAAAGAAAGCTTCCTCTGAAGTCTGAAGTGACACTTCTAGAAGTGTCAATCTCTTTTATCCCTTGTAGGGGTGATATTTAGTTTCAGGATTGGAGCATAGGTTCAAGCATGACCTAGCCTGTTCCCAGACCCAAAAAAATTAACCCACAATTTTATCACCAAAGCAATGGCCTATTGGTAACAAACATCTTGGATTTTGGTCAGATGGCTAAGAAGGGCATCATATGAACATGTGAAGGGGAGGGAGCCTATACTGTATATTTTTAGTGAGGGGGAGGGGAGAATTGTATGTGTGAGGAAGGGGGCAGAATTGTATGTGTGAGGGGGTCAGAGGGGCTGCATTTTATATATGTATGAGGGAGGGGAGAACTTCACTATATGTATGTGTGAGGATGGGAGGATGTATTGTATGTATGAGGGGTCAGAGGGGTCTAAAAGCAGAAAGTTTTTTACCTTAATAAATTCTACACCATTTTGCTGCAGCTTTCCCCCAGCCCCCCGTATAAGTTTTGATTCAGTGATGTACATGAGAGCAACAGCTCTCTCGAGTCTCTCTCTCCTTATTGGCTTACACAGCAGAAGGAACCATTGCCTCCTGCTGCTATCAGTCACAGGCAGTGAGCCAATAAGGAGAGAATGGGGGGAGGAGGCGAGCCATGCTCTGTGTTTGAATAGATAATGGCTATTCAAAGGAGCATGGCTTGGGAGCGAGCCTACTTGAGTGTCCCTATAGCAAGAAGCTTGCTATTGGGGGGGCACTCAGTATCAGGGAGGAGCCAAAACCACCAGTGGGGTACCCAAAAAGAAGTAGATCGGGGCTGCTCTTTGCAAAACCATTGCCGAGAGCAGGTAAGTATAACTTTTTTTTTTTAATTGCAATCTTCAGAATCACTTTACCCCCCCCCCCCCCCGGTTCACATCAAGCCCGACTTTTAAATAGTGCAACTTACAGTGAAGTCACACGATTTCAAAGTCGGGGACATGGCGATTTCAGGTAGGATTTGCCACAGATGTCTATGCAAATCACACAAAAAGTAGTGCATATACTACTTTAGAAATCGGTGCAACTCCAATCAAGTCAGAACCGCAATGATTTGACCGCTGTAATTGCAGGCAATAGGGTGCGACTTGACATACGAGTTGCAAGTCGCATGGCATGCAAATTCCATGCCAAGTCACACCCAGTGCGATTGGGGTGTTAATTATTGTAGAAACATGTTGTGTTACTCCAGTGATCTTCTTCCTAACAACCAGCACCCCAACTCTCCTCATCGCTGCCACCCCAACACTCCTCCACCTCAATGCTAGCACCCCAACCCATCTTACTGCCAGAACTGCAACACACCTCCTTCTCATTGCCAGCAATCCAACCTTCCTCCTGCTTCACACCACCAGCACCTCAACACTCCTCCTAGTCACCACTAGCATCCTAACCCTCCTTCTCATTTTGTTCCTCAGCCTCCTAATGCTTCACTTCATTCCACATCCTGCTTGAGGGCAGGGATGATCTTCTGTGCAAAATACTGGTGACAGGCATATAGCCTACTGGAAAAATAGTGACATCTGTGAAGTAGCACAAGCCACAAACTTGCATAAAGCCGTGTTTGACAAAGCTGGCATTAAGATACTGGGCAGGCAAATTGCTATACTGCACCCTTGTAGAATCTGCAAGGAATGTAAAAAGGAGCATCATGTTATGCATGTATTGTTGTTTGTTTTCCTTTACATTATGTTGTCCCTACCTCACTCTTCAGGTAGGGGATGCTTTATGTAGTTAGTCCCACACTTCTTTTTCTGGCTTAGTCTCCATTCCCCGTATGTACTGTATTCTGCTGGAGCTAGACACACTATGATTTTTTTTTTTACCTATCTGATGTTCATCTGTTATGATCTTCCCAAGTTTTGGAATAAAGCTTTCTACGATCTTCAGGATGTCATTTGAGTTGAGTCACTGTCTACTAATTCTACTGAGACTGTAAGTTACAGCTGTCTTTCCACGACTGGATCAATTATAGAGATCATGAGTTGTCAGTCCTCCCCTGCTTGGGGAATTATACTGGGGGACAGATTGACCTGGGAGGATTATACTGGGAGACAGACTGACCTGGGGAGATTATACTGGGGGACAGACTGACCTGGGGAGGTTATACTGGGGGAACAGATTGACCTGGATGAGGGAGAAGGATTATACTTGGGGATAGACTGAGCTGGGGAGGAGGATTATTTTGGGGGACAGGCTTACCTATGAGGAGTATACTGGTGGACAGTTTGACCTGGGGGGAATGATTATACTGGGGGACAGACTTACCTGGAGAGATTATACTGGGGAACAAACTGACCTAGAGGGAAAAAGAATTATACTGGGAGATAGTCTGGGGGGGGGGGGGGGGTATTGTACTGGGGGGCACACACTGACCTTGTGTTATGGGGGGGGGGTATCGTACTGGGGGACACACACTGACCTTGTGTTATTTACCCATGATCCTTAATCCCCTCCCCTGTTTACACAATTTGGCCACACCCACTGTTCGCCTCAGTGCCCTACATGCCCTGCATTCTACTCTTCTACTTGGTTTGACAAAAGGTACACACAGTATTTTAAAATCCTAGCAACATCCCTGGAAAGCACAACACATTTTTTTTTATCAAGCAGTGGGGCCCAATTTATTGTCTAACACACCTGCCCACTGATTTCATAAAATTCCCAGGGTCCCACCCCAGCATTAGCAAACTTTGAGAGTAGCAGAGTGTTGTACCCTGTTTACCACTGACACAAGTAGATGTTAGATCTAGGGTGATAACATTTGTTGGCAAGGTTTCAAGGCATTCAGTCCTCTTCTTCGGGCAGTAAAAATTGTCAGTAAGACACATGCATTTTATACATTAAGCAACATAAATATGCAGATGTTATCAACTTGTGCAAGAGTTAGAGTGAGAGAAAAATAAATTCCTTCTTGTGTGATTTAAAAACTCCCCATAAGCATATTAACAAATAGATTGTTTAAGTTGTGGTCTTTTATGCAGAGGTGTGCAACAACAGGAACCTCAGTTTATGTTTTTAACTAATTGTGGATCTGTGTATATTAATTCACTGGTGTTATGTTTGTCCAGTTTCACTGACATAGAAAC